TATTTGGGGAATCAATAGCTCACAATGTTCACCCACTAGGTGGCCATTTAGGCGATCGGATATTGCAAATCCGACCTCATGTTCACGAGGTGCTGAGGTGGCGTTGCCCACCCATTAGAACGTGTGACCAGCACCTACTTCATGCAACTTACCTTGCTCAGCGAGCCGAGCAGGTGCTGGCTACTCATTCTACTTGGTGGGCAAAGCCACCACAACACCACGAGAGCATGAGGTCTGATTTGCAAGATCCGATCGCCTAAATGGTCACCTCTTTGGCGAACCAACAGGCATCAGTGCGCGACTGACGTATGCTCGCCTACGACTCGGAAGACGTAAGTTTGCCACTTTAATAAGCAGTACAGTCGGACCATGTGTTAGCCTGATGACACGAGTGAATAATTCTACACTCAGCTATCCTCCGTGATACGGTCTGTGCCGAGGAGCGACCGATTATTTCTGCTGGATGATTTCAACGCGCGCGTTGGGCGTGATGCATCGGTGTGGACAGAGATTAGCGGTCCGCATGGCATTGGTTCAGCGAATGCAAACGGTGACAGGCTGCTCTCACTGTGTGCCACTCACGGCCTGACGATCACGAACACTCGGTTTGCACTGAGTGCAAGTGACATAGCAACTTGGACGCACCCACGGAGTGGTCACGCTCACCTGCTCAACTATGTCGTCGTACGTCAGCTTGATATGCTTGAAGTGTGCATAACATGTGTACTGCGTGGAGCTGAGTATGGCGCTGATCACAAATTGGTGCGGACCAATCTGTACATATATTTTCATAAATCTATGTATTGCTCTCTCCGTGAATCAGCGTAAATTTAACGTCCTCTCCCTCGCTACTATGGAGAAACGGTTGAGCTGAAGAAGGTGATGTCTGCACGCCTGTGTGATGTGGACTGCGTAGACACAGTGGGCGACCTGTGGCACCGCATTCGCGACCAAGTGAGAGTTGCTGCCGAGGAGACCATGGGGCGCGCAAACTGTGAGCGGCCTGATTGGCTTGGTGAGAACAATGCGACGATTGGCGCCTTGGTGGCTGAGTAGAATGCAGCATTTGCTGTACATGTGGCAGACCCCATTGACTTCTAAAGAAGAGTTGGTTTTGTATATGTCGACGACAACTGGTCCGAGAGCTGCGTCGCATGAAATATGCGTGGTGGACAGAGAAGACGATGTAATGCTAAAACGAACGCCGCCAACATAAGGAATACATTGACTCCTTGAAGGCGGTATATGGACCGAGGTTGAAACCCCTGAGTACGATACTCGATGGTAGTACTGACGCTGCCTGCACACAGACTGGACATAATGCAGATATGGCAAGCTCACTTTGACGGTTTCAGTGATTGGCTGGCCTTCATTGAACGCCCTCAATCAGCACGAGGTGGAGGAGAGTCTGGCGGACGCGCCGACGCTGGATGAGACGCAGAGAGCACTTGCTCAACTGCGAAACGGCAAGTGTTCCGGTACCAACGGGATCACGCCTGAAGTATTGAAACACGGCGGACCTGCGTTGGGTACTGCGCTGCACCACTTCTTGCAACATATGTGGATTGAGGAGGAAGTGCCTCCTAAGCTGAAGGATACCCTTTTGCTACCCCTGTACAAAAGCATAGGGAGTAAACAAGGTTTCACGTATTATTGTGGCATCAACTTGCTGAGTTGTGTGGGCAGAGTCGTTTCACTAATCCTGCTCAACCGCCTCGTTAGTGAGGTTGTGGAACCGAACGTCGCGGAAGAGAAGTGTGGATTCCGTTCGGGTCGCAATACCATCGATATGGTGTTTGCGGCTCGTCAGTTGCAGGAGAAGTGCAGAGAACGACACCAGCCATTGTACTCTCTTTTTATTGATTTCACCAAGGCATTTGGTACGGTGAACTGCGAGACATTGTGGCTGGAGTTGGGCAAGTTTGGTTGTCCGAGTAAGTTTGTAGGGTTATTTGGATCTCAGCACTATAGCACGCGGGCGAGGGTACAGCTGAGTGGACAAACCTCTTATGACTTTGCAGTTATCTGTTGTGTGAAGCAAGACTGTATCTTAGCCCTTGCTCTGTTTAATAGTTGCCTTCATGTCATGATGTCTTGCGCTTTTCATGTGGCTTGTGCTCACGATGTTTGTGTGGAGCACCGTATTGATGGTGGAGTGCAGAACATTCGTCCTTTCGGTGCGAGGACCCTAGTTTGGGAGACAACTATTGGTATGTTGCTGTTTGCTGACGACTGTACGTTGTTTACACACAGCACGGATGAGTTGCAGCACATGACTAGTGCTCTGGCTTCGACAGCAGCCAAATTCGGGCTTACCACCAAGCAAAACTGTCTGTCTCTTTCAGTCTTCCCCGGAGGTGCAATCTGCATTATTGCCGAGAATCAGCATTGACTCTGTAGTACTAGAAACCACCCCGTTTCTGCTACCTTGGGAGTGTGGTGCCGACTGACCAGCAGCTGCACAGTGAGTTTCATATCCACGTTTCGAAGGCAGCGGCGACATTTGGGAAGCTTGAGTATCGAGTGTGAAACAACCATCAGGTTACCGCTGACACGAAGCTGATGGTGTACAGTTACACGGTGCTGACCTTTCTTCTATACGGTAGCGACACGCGGAAGATGTACCGGCGGAATGTGTGATTTCTCGAGTGGTTCCATCAACATCGAGCACATGGTGCTGTAACACATGCGGCTGCGAGTGTTTGAGTCAGGCAGGCCTAATGAGCTTTAGCGAGGTCACCCGGGGACAACACCGAAACCACTACGAGTCCTGCAGAGAATGTAGACAGAACCGGCGCAGCGTTTGTAGGTGCGCTGCATTCGATTTCCTAACCGCGTGATTGAATTCTACGTCTTTTATTTAAGGTGATGGGTTTGCTATATTGTCCTAATGCATTTTTCTCATTTAAATGTCTACCTGAACTATCAATTTAAACTTGCACACGTCCCCTAAATTACTTTAACATGGATAAAATTTTCGCAATTTGTCAATTTTTAAAAAATTATTTTTGATATATTGAACTTATTCTGGATTTGTTCATAACCAACGTATTTTATGTGCTCATTTAGTGAAAATTTGTGTCACCATGTCCGCATGCATTCTATTATTTATATTATTTGACATCGTAGTCTCAGGTGATTGGCTGTTGCTTGATATCCTCAATGTGGCTGCGACTGATGTGCATGTTGGCAAGGTGCCTACCTGTCTATTACCCATTACCTCTCAGTGTGGAGCGGACTGCGGTCCAGCCACCGCCTTGTGTGCGGTTGATTCCCCAAATACAGCGTGCTTGTGTTTGCCTGTGAAGGAGTGTGGGCCGGCTCCGTTGATGAAACGTGGTTCCCATCCACATGCCTCCCGGTCTTATTCCTTCGGGTTTACAGTGGATATGGGGTGTGTGGGTGGAGCTGTGGGTGGTGCAGCGCAAGCCACCCATGGTCCCTCTGTAGGCGCAGGCATCCTGTGGCTGGCCATAGTGACATGCAAATCCGAAACCGGATTCCGCCATTCATATATATATATATATATATATATATATATATATATATTTATATGCGTAAATCCCATTCAGACTCAGGTACCCAGTCACTTACAATAAATGTATGAAAGGTTTTACTAATAGTACTAGACAAATTAGGGGTGTTTTCCTCTCCTGGGCCTATAGTAATAATTATCTCTCCGATAAAAGCATAACTTTATAAGTGGTGCGTGAAAGCTACCAATTTTGTCGAATGCTCCCGGCTGACACCTATTTTACGGTTATATTTCTTACTAGCATAATTTTTACAGTTGATTTTTCCTCAAACAATGTGGGTACGATGTCACCGTATAGCAAATACTACCGGCAGTCACGTGAAAGTAATTTCGTAAGTGCGTTCATTATTGGAAAGCATGGTGTCCCTGCTGAAACAACAGCTCAGAGCTTTAAATCTTGTACTCATTATTTTATCAGACATTCATCGAAAGCTGCTACAATCATACCATACCATGGTGTTTCAGTTCCTGAGTTTTTAATTTTTATCCGAGGTTTAAATGTCGGCTCAAAACTCTGACAAATTACATCCGGATCATGCTCAACATTGCCAAAATCAAATCTACTATGTAGTCATTCTGTTGATGGGGATGCTTATCTTTTGTACACAACAACAACAACAACGAACTTGTTTCGACTATCTAGAGCAGCTCGGTGCCGTAGGTTTATTTGCAAAACCTGTGTACTCTGAGTAGGATTCCACTAGTTTCACAACGAATTCCGCTCCAGGTCTACACACAACGTTAGGCTTAGGATTTGAATTGACAGCATCTGGGAAGTTGCCGCTCATACCCTCAGGCAGGCTGTGAAACTTTGCTGTGAATTGCTGAACAGTTCGTTGCAGATGGAATTTCCTTTTACTCAAATGTATGCCATGCTCTTCAGCTATACTTAATGGTGAGTGTTAAACGTACCTCAAGCAGTATCGGTGTTAATTCGTGATAGGCGCTAATGGAAAGTTTAAACTTAGTACAAACGACAAGTAATCTACCGTACTCCTTTTATGCAAACCGCGTATTAGTGTAATGATGCTATATCAAAACTACTAATCAGACATAAATAGAATAGCGGCTTCATGAATGAAACGTGCTGAAGTCATTACTCTCACGGGCCCCGTTTCCGTCTCAGTGTGATATGACGAACAACCATCCTGATTTAGTATGACCTTAAAACGTCAGCTCGAGTATAAGGTAAAATTTTATTTTGTGCATTCGCCCGTTGACGAGTTTTTAAGTGTTTATTAACTGTACTGGTATGGTACAGAGCATTTGTGTTCGTTACGAGTGTCTTTCGGTGTTATCAGTTGCCTAAACTGAAATGCGTTTGCAACAATATTGCTCCTATGATGATTTCAAGTGTAATTCTGTCCATTAATTATACTATCTTTTCATGTTTTCCATGTTATCATTGATGCTATCCACCTCCAGAGATAAAGTCACTTCACAGTCTCCTGTTGTTCCTCAACAGCTTTATGGGAATACACTACATCGGATCACAAATAATGCAAAAGTTCTGAACCAGTTCAACCCAAATTATTTCCTCCGGCTGGCGAGTAACCTGAGTAATGAGAAGATTCTACAGGAGCTGCCGTTGTATTCTGAGTAAGTCATTGGATCTGTTGCTTTCAGTATTCTATGAAACCTACCGCTTTGTGTGTTGTCTTGGCGAACCTGCTAATAGACAGATCGGTGTCCCGACCTTATCACATAAGACGATTGCTTGGAAAAAATATGGCAACCCTCATCCCACTTGTTACGCCGTAAAACTTTGCATTTGTTATGGGCCAACCAGATTTTCTTTTCCGCACGTTAGATACTTCGACCATAATTTTCATATGTGTGGTATGTCCCCAGGCGACAAATGTATAGCATCCCAGCAAGTAACATTTGGGCTTGTAATGAATGATATGGATCGTTTTGCTGATGAGCCAGAGGGGACTGCCACTTTTCTGCATTTCTCTGTCTAATTCTGGGGATTTGAAGTAATTTATGAGGAACACATTCGTTGACAGAGAGATGTTATCGACTCAACATTTCTGTGGTTCACGGACTCCTTGGAAGCACTGGAGTTCCCATGTACCGAATTCGTTCTGCAAGTGCTAATGACCCTCGTTATGGTTACAGACGATGGATAGTAGTCGGAAATACATGCAACAAAAGTGAAGGGTTTCGGTTTGGCCCTCTCCAATCTTTGCACTCCGCAACGCGTTTCGCCATTGTCTGGACACATCAGGTAGATAGCCTGAGTTGGGAGCAGAACTCGGCGCATAGTGGTGGGAGGATATCGCCAGGATTCGTAGGCGAGGGTGTGAATTGCCCACCATCAAAACTTTGCTTGCTCTTAGACCGATGACCTCCAGTTAATATGATTGTTCACTGAAGGTTTAAAACAAGTAAAAGTACTGGCGCAATTCGCTCCAGTGATCTGATTCAAGATCCATCGACTCTCTGTTAGGGCTGCTTAACCATTTCCATCTTGCAGCTACGGTCTGATTTACGACCGGAGTGTCAGAAGGGTATTATGATGATCCTTCGCATCGTCTCTTATATTAGCTCTAACCGTGTTAAGGGCAGGATGTGAAAAAGGGACCTGTTGTGAGAAGATACGCTGCTGTGCCATATCAGCTCCGCATATTTTTCCCTGCAATTGACTAATCTATCTAAATCATCCTAAATATTGACGACCTAAACTCCTGATGATAGTCCCTTACTCATAGCGATAGCAGAATTGTTGCCTTTAGTTGCAGGCCAAAAAATGTTCTGGCTGATTTGCTAGACGGTACCAAATATCTAGCGTTTGTCATCGAAGAGTAAATTATTAAAGAGTGAAGGAAAACAATGCAGTGTATCTTTGTTGAAACCAGTCTGTCACCACAGTCAATTATATCTCAAATAAGGTCACAGTAGGGATAGCTCGGTTAATGAACCATGAACAATGATTTATCACGGGATATAGCAAGTGCTTGACACGTCCCGTAGGATGATTGAAGTGAATAAAATGAAATCAAAATAAATCTGAGTCATCTACCGAATATCTGCCTAGATGAATACTTCGATAAATTACATCAGTGTTAAATTTAACAAAATCGAGCGCAAACGTTCAGAAAGACACTGTGGTGCAGTGATTTTTGATGTAAGGCCTGAAGAAAGTAAAATATGGTCGCTCACTTGGGTACATTTGATACATGAATCCTGTTGAAAAGCATGCTTGGCGTAATCCACAATGGAGGAGTTTAGGTAACAAAATGCTGAGAGCTAAGAGCGACATCTAATCGTATTTTGAAAGCGTCTAAGCTAGGAGAGGATACAACCGAGTCTGGGACTGCGTTCCAGGGTTGGCAAACCCGAAGGGAAAAGTAATTCCGTCGACACTCTAGACGGCTATATTGTACCTTCAATTTTAAGCAGTTACCCCTGAGCTGCGTGTTGTGGCTAAGTTTCAGCAAATGGCGGCATACATGGTTGGAGTCACTGAGTATCTGATACGCTACTATGAGATCACCGCGCAGCCTTCGAAAGCGTCCGCTGAAATTTCGCAGCAACTTCAGCCTTCGGCGGTAAGAGTGATAGCGCAGGCCCTTTATATGCGTTGTTGCTCTTCGTTGAGGTATCTGTAACGCCTCTAGGTCGCGCTTCAACCAAGGTTGCGGGCGCACGTAGGAATTGTGCATCATTGGGAAGAATGATAAGACAAATTTCCCGAATGCGCTTCGCAGCATGCCTACGTGCTGAGTGCCTCTTTTCGTAGCTATCTCAGCCTGTTTTGAACAGTTGTGGTCGCTCTGTACGATCACACCAAGGTTACATTTCTGAGAGCTGGTATGCAATCCGTTTGTCCCAAGCTAATAGGTGTAGTTATGTCTATGGTTTAATTGTACAACGCGACATTTGACTACGTTGAATAGTAGGGCATTTTGAACTGACCAGTTCGACACTGTGTTAAGATCGCACTGGAGTCGTTCCTGGTCTACCGGTCCTCTGATCCTTCGCCAAATCTTGTTATCATCAGCGAAAAATAGGAAATCGGAAGCAATTGATCTCGCCAAATCGTTAATGAACACCAAGAATAGACGAGGTCCAAGAGACGAGCCTTGTGGTACTCCACACACCACATCGATTGCATCAGACAATGATTCTCGGACTCTCACCACTAGCCGTCGTTCTTGTGGAAAATTCCTAATCCAACTCAGGATTGGATCGCCAGTGCCGTAATTCTGAAGCTTCTGAAGGAGAATTCGATTGTCTAAGCGATCAAACGCTTTTGAGAAGTCCAGGTAGATGACATCGACTCCTACTCTATCATCAACAGCTCCAGTCTAGCTATCACCTGCAATTAATAGGTTAGTATTACACGAATGCTCTGAGGCTATTAAGTTGTGGATTTCCAGCTATTGCGTCAGCGCATCTGTGATGATTGATTCCATCACTTTGGATAGTACGGGAAGTAGTGTTATTGGACGGTTGTTTGCCGGATCATTGCGGTTACCTCCTTTATGGATAGGAGTGATGACCCCTCACTTCCATACTGGTGGAATACGGTTTTCTTCTGGACATCGCTAATAGAAAACAGCCAGTGTTTCTGTTAGATCACTAGCTACCGCCTGCAGAGCCTTTGGTTGGATGTTGTCGGCTCCGAGAGAACTGTGGATACGCAAGGATAACTTCTTCAACACAGGTACCGCAGTGAAGGTGATGTCTAAACCAGATGGTGGAGTATTAGAAATGAGGTGAATGTTTGGGCTCGTTACCTGCCGGAAAGTTCGGGAGTAATGAAGCCGTAGGAGATCAACTACTTCCGTTGCTCGTCGCGTGCACCCATCAGCCGTGATTAGTGCTGGAACCCCCCCGCTTCACCTTTCGAAGGCCGTTAACGTGCCTGTACAGGAGTTTGCAGTTAGTGCAGAATCGCTTCATTAACTCTTGCTGATTTGTGACTTTGTCTTCGCGGAACAGTTTCACACAGAAGTTACCATGTGTCACGTATGCAGTCTAGGTTTCGGCATTAAAGCAGTCCTGGTGATCTCGCCATGCCAAATACTTCGGGGACATACATTTACGTGTTCTGCTCCTCAAAAATGACTTATGCTTGTTTTTGTTTTGGAAGCACTTCTGTTCCGATGCATGCGCAACCAATTTGCTAAACGTCCTTGTAACTGTTTCCGAGACGACATCTGGGGGGGGGATTCGGTTGAGAAAGTCCAAGATGTATCCTTAACAAGCTTAGATAACACATTGTAGTGCGTGAGTGTATGCAATTTATCCTCCTTCTTTTCAGGGTACTCGACATAGCATATATGATCAAAGAGTAGAGTGACATGATCACTACAACCCAGTGGTGTGATTGTAACCATCCCATCAACCATGAGTTCTTCGTTCGTTAGCACAAGATCCAGTATTGTCGGCTTGTTAGAAGTTCGAAATCTGGTGGGAGAGGTTACATGGTTGTACAGAGGGTGGCTAGCAATAAGTTCTTGCAAACAGGCTTTAAACTACATACCGTCGGTTGCGGGATTTTCTATGTCGTGCACGTTAAAGTCTCCAGCGATAAGAATGTGGGTGTAGGACTTGATCAAAGCAAACTGAAAAACGTGGTGCAGTTTGGAGTCCATTTCCAACGTTGAGTTTGGTGGGCGATAAATCACGGCTAGTAGACATATGTCCTTGTTTCGCAACCAAAAGGCGGCACCAAAACGAATCGGGAGCCCGGATTTCCGGGTGATCGATAACTTCACATCGAAGGTTTGTATTATAGTAAAGAATCACACCACCACCCATTCCGGTTCTATCGGTTCGAAGCAGCGACATACCGGGTAAATTGATCTCAGAGTCGGTTATCTCAGGTTTTAACCATCTCTCTGTAATCATGACGAGGTCCCGCGGTTGTGAGACATGGAGTTCTCTAAGTTCGGCCAACTTGCTTAGAAGGCCTTGGGCGTTTGTGTACATGCAAGATAGGGCTTTTGTTGTTAGGAGGTCATTGATAGATGTCAAGTTTATGTTAGTTTTTAAGCCGGCCGTTAGGTGGCCGGCCTTTAATCGTTTTTTGGTTTATGTATTTCAGTCATGTTGCATGGCATTATTGAGCGTTCCTGAACAGACGTTTCACTCGTGCTGTGCTCTGTCCTGTTGTGTGCAGTGGGTGCTGTTGTGTCGGTCTCTCCGCAGGACTGTGCAAATAAAGAATATGTTGCGTTTGCAAGTTCCATTGAATTGCTTCCGACTTTTGGCCGTTCGCCTGCTGCCTTTAGCCGGATTTCTGTTGGCAACCTAGCTCGAAACTTTAACCAGCTATCCAACAGAACTTGCGTCATTCCCTCGGAGTGTAGTATTACTTTAATTAGTCTTGGACCGCAGCCCTTGTAGTTAGGTGATGACGGAACTCTTGTCAGGGATTTGGCAATAACATTGTCAACAGAGAGTGCTGCGCGGATGTAGCACCACTGCTCTCGGTCATGTGTTTGCGCATCGTGATCAAAAGAATGCAGAAGCTCGGGAACACCATGAACAACTATTGTTTTCTTGCTATCCCTATTAATAAAGTAATAATAATGTGTCGGCTGAACGCCATAACGGCGCTTCGCTGCCGCGCGACCACCACCAGT